TTCTCAGGAGCATATTTTCAAACTTCAATTGCTCTTTACAGAAGCCAATTTTTTTTTTCAAACAAAAAAAAAAAGTGCAATGCGTTTCATGTCTATATATTTTTATTCATGCCAATATATTTTCACAGTTGGATAGATTTAACTAAATTAGTAGTTACAGTATTTGTTCAAACCAATGCATTTTTGCTGGCATCTGGTAAGTAAATGTCATGTGGGCTTTGATTTTTTGTTTGTTTGTTTGTTTGTTTTTTAGCAATCAGCTTTAACCAAACTCACATCACTTAAGACAACAGCAACTCACCTCCACCACTCAAAATTTCTCACCCCAAACAAACAAAACCCCAGCTCTTCTGTTCCAGCTGCTGAAGGAAGGTAAAGGGTGATGTAAAAGGCAAATACACAGACTTCAGGTGACGAACATCTGCTCTTCTGATTTCCACATGGGCCAGTAATGGTGCACTGGGCAGGGAAATGCCTTTTCTGTCATCCCACGTGTGGCCTTCTGCAGAGGGACTCTCCACAGGAGGGAAGCTGTGCTGCCACTTTCAGGTACAGGGGGGCAAATTTAAGCATTAAAGGTTTAGTAAGGACCGCTGCAAAAGGTGGCTCTTATCCAACCAGATAATTCCTCAAGGCTGGGTGGCAGCTGTAGTGGGCTTTTCTCACAAGAGTTTTCTATTGAGCCATATAAACAAGTCTCACTTTTCAAATTACTATTTTGAATGTGCTTGTGAGTGTTTAGCAGTTTTGCAACTCAGGATGGAATCTGTCTCTAACTTCTGTCACTGCCAGCTTGCCTTCCCCATACCTTACTTCCTCTGGGGCTTCTTTGTTGTTGTTGGAACTCTGCAACCATATTTTGACTACTTCTTCACTACCCTCTAGATTATGCAAGATTTACTTTAAAGTATATATTATAGAACATAACACAGAGCAAGTGTTTCTAGAGCTATGTTTCTCAGCTTGTAATATTGGAAGGTTCTCTCTCCTTAAATTATCTCTACACTTTCCACCATTTGCTGAATTTAACAAAGCCACAATATTTTGCCAAACAAATAAGCTTTCCTTGGGTATAATTTCCTCTCCCTAATCACAGAAGACTAATGCTATCACGGAGCATAATTAAAAACATGTTTATCCCTTCAGATTTTGCTTGTCTTTCAAGGCAAACTCTAGGGGTAGATTGTCCCAACACAATACAGATGGCTCCTTTTGGAGGAGGTGGAGTTTAGCTTTTCAGAGAGAATTCCAAAGTCTTGTTTATCAGCAGTAATAAAGTGTGCAAAAATTAACTGATCATGAAGTGGACCCAGACATGAAGTGGTTTGTACTATACACCCATACCTGTGAAATTTATGCCATCTAACAAAGGATAACAGGAAATAACTGGGAGGGAACAACTAATAAACCTGATTGCTCTGCTAGAGGAAGAGTTTGTCTGTTCATTTTTGAGTGAATAAGAAAAAAATTGTCAGGTAGGAGAACGTAATATAGGATCTATGCTGAAAGTGTATGGGAGGCTGGGCAACTTTTATTTATTGACTCAGTGAGAGGAAATACTTGAGGACCCTTTCTGAATCATGCTTGGGGATTAAATTCTTTGCTTAGCAATAGGAATATTTGTGCATATGGCCTTGATAAATAACAGGATAATGCAGAAGAACATTTTTCTGGTTCTGATAAAATGTTTACCCTCTGCACCTGATTTTTGGTGTTATCTTGTGCTAATATCTTAGAGTTTTACTCTTTACTTTGTTCTGAAGTGTGTTTCCTGAAGAGTCCTTCCTGCTGCCTTTTTGGTCTGGAAGTAATAAGGCATCTGGCCATGCTGTGTGTGAGCTCCAGCTTCACAAACCAATTACAAAGTTCTGCTTATGTTTGGTGTCAGCTGCCACTGGATGTCACAAGACGTGATACTATGACTGGCTAAGCTGTCAAATTAACTGCTAAGTTAATCAGAAGAAGTATGACATCATGTCTTGGATGATTCTAACGGTTTTAATCATAAATTTTTCAGATATATAGTTAAATAAATCATAGGGTTTTGTTGTGAATTTTTTCTCTTTTTGAAAAATGGACTGAAAGGTCAGAGTGTAAAGAACTCTTGATACTCCTCTGCACTGCAGCGCTTGATTGGTGCTTTATTGAACCTCAGGTGTAATTTTCTAATGTTTAGTAAATATTTCTGCTCTGTGATGCAGAGGAATAATGCTAACCTCCCCTCCCTACTCCCCTCCCTGCGAACCAGTTTCTCATCAACATGTTGCCAAACTCATTTTGGAAACACTTGAGCTGTAAAATAATGGTGCGTACCAGTGTTTTTGGTTATGCTTCTGACATGGGGTGTGGTGTAATGTCCATGTTGCTGGAACCTGGGGAGAAAATGTCAGCTGGTGTCTCTAAACATGCAGGTCAGCTTTTCCAAGTGTACTACTGTGGAGAAGACTCGGAACCCCCATGATGTACAGACAGGCATTTCATTCCTACACCTGCCAGGGGACCTCCTTTTACACCTTTTAATCACTAAGTTGGGAAGACATTTGTATCTTTTCTATAACGTTTCCTGGGACATCACTGCAATCAAAAGTATGTCTTGTCAAAAGTACAGAGCTGTCAGTTGTCATAATTAATGCAAAAGCACTTCGGGATGGATTATGGTCCTGCCTTAGTGAAGGATTTAGGTTGCTTATTTTGTAGGAATTGGTTTTTTAATTTCCTCTCCCAACTAAAAAAAAAAAAAAAACCATTTGCTGACATTTACTGTACTGCCTTAAAAATGGTGACTCAATCCTTTTTGTAAGACTTCTACAATATTTTGATAATCATTCCCTGTTCATTACTGCTGTACCTGCACTTTAGCCCTGAGTACAGCTCTAAAACCTTTGCCTGTTGTGTATTTTTTCAGTATCCATAATAATAAAAAAAGGAGGTAGAGAAAAGTATCATCCAATCTACTCATCCATTAGAGACAGACTTCAAATATTCCCTTCCTAGGGGACTTTCTAGTGCAACATCTTTGATTGTGTTAATGTAACCTACCAAAGGCATGGAGATGTATGTGATGTTCCTTTGATATGTTGCCTAAATGGCTGTGGGGAAAAAAAGACTCCAAGCCAAATTAGGTAGGAGATAAGATAAGGATACAAAAGTTTTAATGAGCCCCCAGGCTTTCTGGAATACCCCAGCGCGCGCTCGAAATACAGATGTCCACAGTTTTTATAATGATTTTTGCCCAATCCCCGTTCTGTTACCACCCAGGTTCTGCCCCCGCCACGCCTCTTGGGAATTGGGTCTGGGGGCGTTTTGGGACCCCCTCTTCTTCATCTTCATCTTCCTCAGAGCACGTAATGTATTTGGAGGCCTTCCAGAATTCTAGGCTTGAAGGTTGTTGGGTCTACGGCTGTATCTTGTTCCGTAGGGTTAGGGTGTTCTTCTACAATTCTACCTTGAAAAAGAGACTAAACAGGCTATGGAATTTAGGGAATTGATAGGGGAATGGGTAACAGGGGTTTGAGTTAGTGTGTTAAGGGTAAAGGGATAATATGCTGCTACTCTAAAATCTACATTTACTACATAACTACTTCTAAGGTCTACAAAAATAAAAAAATTAAAACATCAAAACTCCAAGGTATCAGATACAAAAGCATTCAAATGATAGAGCATTAAGACACAATCCTGTAATTTGATTCTATATTTTATGAGAGCTTCTTTTGGAGATAGGAGGAACTCCATATAAAACCTGACTCAGTCTCAAATGGTGCCAGATATAAGCACCACTTGCTAATGGACAACGTGGAAGACATGAATCCAGAATACATAACTTCCCAGATCCCACTCTTTTGAGGTGAAGCTGACAACTGATTGCACTTCCTTGACGATCTGAGACCATGGACCCTTCGGAGAAATGAGCTTTAAAAGCTTTAAGAGCTTCCCTCTCCTGCAGGAAAGACTATTTCATCACTTATCTAAGCAAAGCCCTTTGGATTCAAAGACTGACGGGAATACAGAGAGCTACTGTGGGAAACACACAACAAAAACCTCAACAGAAGAAGGATGGAACCAGAACTGGAGAAAACGCCTGACCACTGCAGGCATTTGGGTGCAGGGGAATCCCGCTTTCTCCCAGGTAAGGCAGCACAATTCCTCCACAGGACGTTCACGGGCAGATTCCTTAAAGCTGAACACCAAACACACCAACATGGAGTGGCTGCCTGCCCCTCTTGGGTTTCCCCACCACATTCAGAGCCTTAGCTTTCAGACCACAAGCGCTTTAGGACCAAAAATTGCTCCCAACCCTCCCAAGAAACCCTCCAGACAAAGAACTTTCTCCAAGCCGTCCGCAGTCCGGGCAACACCGCGAAAAGTCCACGCTCTTTATTGCCATTGTTCGGGGGCCTCACAGGCGGTAGAGGCGCCTGCACGGGAATTCCGGTTGTTCCGAGGAATCCGGAGGCTCATCCTTTCACGCGCTGTTTCCGGAGGGGCGGGAGGAGACGCAGAGGGCGGAGAAGGTGCCTCACGCCCGGCCGTGAGGGGCCGCCCGGAGCGGGCGCTCCCGTCCCGCACCCGCCGGGGCCGCCCCGGCTCTGCCGCCGCTTCAGCACCGGCCCCGGACAGCGCCCGCCGCCGGCCACGCCCCCCCCGCGCCGCTCTCCCCGCCCATTGGCTGCGGCGCGGCCGCGCGGCCGCCGCCCCTCGCGATTGGCCCGAGCCCGCCGCCACTCAGCGGGCCCGGCCCAGAGGAACGCCCGTTCGTTTTGTAACGCGCCCTCTCATTGGCGGAGCGGCCCATGCCGGGCTCCGGCTATTGGGCGGCCGCGCGCGCCAGTCACGCGCCCACCTGAGGGGCGGGGCTGAACGGGCGTGGGCGTGGCCAGGGGAGCGACGGGGGCGTGTCCGCGGCGCGGGGAGGGCCGGGGTGTGGCGCTGGGGGCGGGGCTGTGGGCGGGCTTCCACAGAAAGGGGTGGGGCGTGCGCGGGGGGCGGGGCCGGGCCGGGGGAGCCCGGCGAGCCCAGAGTGCCCTTGTGTGTCGCGCCGGGAAGCGGCGGGAGCGGAGCCGAGTCCCTGCGCATCCCAGCCCTCCTCTCCCCGCCTCCCGCCAGCGGGACAGGACAGGACGGGACGGGACAGCACCGGAGAGGCGAGCGGAGAAACGGACGGACGCGCCGGCAGGGGCGAGGGGAGCCGGCGGGGGCAGCTGGCACCGCTCCGCGGTGGGAACCTGAACCTGCCCAGCAGCGCCGGAGCCAGCGGAGAGAGCCGCTCTTTCCTCCTCCTCCTCCTCCCTCCCCAATCCACCCCCGCGACCCTGGTCCTCCTCCTCCTCCTCCTCCTCCTCCTCCTCACCCCACTGGATACAGCGAGGGAGACACTGCGGCGGAGGCGGCGGCGACGGCGGCTCCTGCGGGGGGAAGGAAGCGCCCGGAGAGCGGAGCGGCGGGAGGCTGCGGATCTGCGTGCCTGGCGCCCACCCAGCCCGAGGGGAGCCCCCAGGATGCGGCTGAAGCCCGGCGCGCTCCTGCGCTTCTACAGCCTCTGCGGGATCCTCGTACAAGGTACCGCCTCCTCCCCACCCCTGCCCCACGCGCGGGGAGGGAGGGACGCCGGGGGGGCACCGCCGCGGCCCGGGGCATCCCAGGCTTCCCCCCGTGCCCACCGCCCCACTCTTGACCCGCTCTCTCCCTCGCCCCTCTCCCGGCTTACCCCCACCCTCCCCGGGCGCCCCCAGCCTCCCGCCCGGGTAGCGCTATCCAGCGCTGAAGCGCCGCACGGCTGTTAACCCTTCCTGCCCTTCCAACGTCAGCCTCTTCCCGCCCTCCTTCGCCCTCCGCGCTTCTCCCTCCACCTACACCCACCTCCCCCCTCCAGCCGCCGCCAGTCGCTCGTGGAACCCCGTATCCCCCTCCGGCTCCCCCGTCCCCTCCTCGCCCGTTCTGCCGCCGCAAGACGTGCCCCCGAAAGTGCGGGTGCCGCCGCAGCAGCGGCGTGAGCGCCGCAACAACATCCCGGGGAACGTGCGGGCTCCAGCCGAGCCTCCTCCCCGGCGGGAGGGGGCGGCAGGATCGGGGGTGGGGGGATGGCGCCGGGAGTGCGTGTCTGTATGCGAGCCATAAGATGTGCACGTAGGGTAATCGGATGAGCCGCGGGTTCAGCAGCCAGATCCCTTCACCATCCTGCTCCAGGCGGCTCATCCTGCGGCTACTTTGCAGACTGGATGTATATTCCCCCTCTGCCTCCTCCTCCTCCCCGCCGCCGCTCTCTCCCCTTCGTTCCCGTTATCCGGCCAAGTCGGATGGAGCGGCCGCCGCGCAGGGAAGCCCCCGCGAGGCGCTGCGAGATGCCAGCCTGCGGGAGCTTCCCGAGCCCTCTCCCGCTCCGGGAGAAACCGAGCCGGGAGCCGAGCCGGCTGCGCTGCCGCCGGGAGTTCGCCCCCTCCATCCATCCCTCCCTCCCTGAGCGGTGTTCGGGATGACGGCGCGGCCCCCCGGCCGCTTTGGGGATCACACGGTGGGAGGTGACGGTCAGGGGGGCGGCGGCCCCGGGGGTCGGGGAACCACCGCGCAGCAACTCCGCTGGCCGCCGGGGCATCTCCCTGCCCTTCCCTCGCTCGGCGTGCGGGGCGTTTCGGTGTGGGAGGGAGAAGCGAAGAGTCGATTAAAACTAAGTGGCCTTGTAAGATTTTTTTTTTTCCTTTTCTTTCTTTTTTTTTTTTTTTTTTCGCCTCCGTTGTGCCATTTCACGTCAAGTTAATATATCTCGCGTTTCACATGGCTGCGTCATGTGTCGGGCGATCTCTCCGGAGGGAGCTGTGGCTGGAAGCCCGGAGCGGGGGCACAGGCAGCCGCCTGGGTTCCCCGAAACACGCGAACCTCGTACCCCCCACACCCCACATCATCCAGACCCCCCGAAGTGCCCTCGCTCCACTTCCCGGGGAAGTTACTGGCCGAGGAGGCGAGAAGGGATGGAAGGGGAAGGGAGTGCTCTGGGCAACTGCGAAGGACGGTTCCGTCGGGCGGATTATTTGTATTCTTTCCCGATGTTTATGGGTTGCCCGGTACGTCACCGCACAAGGAGCCGCTGTGTTGGTGCTATACAGGATTATTTATTGGGGCATGTGCGGCGCGCTGCACCTGGGGGCTGGCTCCTCTCTGCCTTTTGCATTTCCCTGTGAATTGTCAATTCATTGCCCTGCAAAGGAGCGGGGGGTGGGAAGCGCCTGGACTGACTTTCTGTCACCAATAAAATCGGGGCTGCTGCTGGAGGAGGAGGATTTGATCTCTCCTAAGATGCAATCAGCCGCATTCAGCGCAGCGCAGTTTTGAGAGTAAACCAGTGATTAAAAACAGTGATGTCTTTCACTGCAGTTTAGGGAGCGTGCCAGGCAGAATGTAACTCTGTGAACTGCATCAGGTAAAAAACATGTTGCAAGAAACGGGGTGTAATACAAACCTGACTGCGACTATGTGAAAACAGCCAGATTGGGCCTGCCCTTGCAGATGGGGGAAAAGCGATGCTTAACACATTAACCAGCTTGCCCTCTGCGTGTGTAAAACATCTCCCCTCTCTTCAGTTTCTCACACAATTATTTTTTCAGCTCCTGATTAAAACTTCAGTCAAAAATACTTAGGCACTCTGTAAACTGCACTTCAGCAGAGAGCTGCTTCAAGGGGATATAAAGAACCTGTAACACTCAGGCAAGAGTGAGAGGAAGTAATTTCTCCTATCCTTTTCTCCTAAGGTAAAGGAGAATGGAGGAGTACATATCTTCTAGAAGGCTGTCCTCAATAGCAACTGTATCTGACAGAATATCAAATTCTTTCAGCCCACCTTACAGTGCAACTGCATAAACGTTGTTTTCTCAGTTTCTGCCATTTATTTTGACACAAGTAGCAGTCACAGTTACCATATTAGACACATTTCTTTTTGATAGCTTTATAGCTGCATTTAAAAGTAGTTTTGCTGTTGGCTTGACTGACTTCCCCAAACTGTGTTGGGAAGTGGCTCAGTGGGTTTGTTAGAATCCTCCAGTTTTCTGCTTGTGGGCTGTGGGAGGTGCAGGTTTTTCGTCAGCTCTTTACGTGAATAAGATCTTTGTTCTGAAAATTTGAAGCACTTCTGGACTGTAATTACGGATGATTTCTGGTGGTGAAACCGAAGCTAATTAAAGACAAGGTGACAAAGAGTCAAGCTGACGTGTGTCCTGTATGGAAGTGTGCCTTTCTGGCATGGTCTATGGAGAGACTTGCTTAAGAAATCTGTCTTGAGTATTGATGAAGCATCAGCTGAGGGAAGAGGACATAGAATAATGCTTCTCAGCTTGTGCATGGAATAGCATTAGCAGCAAGCAGTCCCTTCAGAAAGGAGGCAAACAAGAAGTAAAAGAGGCCAGTGTCAACTGCTTGCTGTGAAAGGGGAGCGATGGAGGTGGAGGAGGGACTAATAACATGTTGAGCTGAGAAGCAGTTTGTCAGCTGAGTTTGGGCATGATATTAGTCTGCTCTGCCCTCTCCAGCGTTTGCTGAGAAAATAGTAGGATCTCTGGCTGCAGCTGCTCTTAGCTTGTGCTCTGTAATGATTCTGGAGTACTTAAATGATGTCCCAAGGGGTTAAGCTGTTATTTATGTTTACAGCCAGCCTTACTTTTTTTGCTGTATTCTGCTTGATTTTTTTTGCTTCAGGAATTTACTCTTACTTAGGCAAAATTTAACAGTTGAAGGAGGGCATGTTTTTAGAATAACTCAAGTACATCCTCTGAGCTGTTTTTATGCAACCTGACAAGTAGGCTTGTTATTGTCAAGAGTAACCACGTGAGAAACTGTAACAATAAAAATAGTTCTGTTGGATTCATAGGATGCAGATACAGGTTAGGATTATCCTGGAATTGTAGCTGCTGTAGCCCCCTGCTGTGTGATAATGCAAATGGCATCTAATGCCTTAATGTGCTCGGCTCCAAGAAGGCTCTGGATAGTGTCGGGTGCAAATGATCTACTTCCAAGATTTGCCAGCAATGGGCAGATCTTCTCAACGTGGTCTCTTCATATCCTTCAAATGCTTGCAACCTGTCTACTAATGAAAATAATGTGGGGACGCTTTAATTTGTCTGCAACCGTGGTCACTGATGCAACAAATCAGTGAAGACAGGTAATTGCTTGTGGGTGAGACTCTTTTTTCATTAGCCCGGATCTGTTACGGGCAGAATGAAGAAACCCGCAAACAAACCTGGACGGATATGCGAATGACTGCTTCTGAGATCATGTAGGCTGATTTAAGATGAAGTTGTCCTACATTACTCAGTATCTCCTGTGTCTAGACTCTGTTTTGAATTTTCAGTTGGGTTTCTGTTAGCAAAATCCAGGCAACCCAGTGCTGTGTGCATAGGGGTTGTCTTGACAGCAAAGTGTTCATGTGCTAATACAGTGTACAGCGAGTCAGACACATTCAGTTGTAATTCTGTAAGGTCTGCAAGGGTTATAGACAGTTACGGAATTAAAGTAATTTTAATGCAGTCTTTATTTGGAATAACACAAATTGAAACATAAAATATATCACTCTACTTGACGGTGTTTTTCTTTATACGACTTCAATCAATCTAACCAAGGCCTGGTAGGCTTATTAGCTGCTTAGTTCCCAGGCTAGTTCATATTTTATGAATTCTTTTACTTGATTTCCTCACGTATTTTTATTGATAGTCATCATATAGTAGTTCACACTCAGGTTTAGAACAGATGTAACTAAACAATCCAAATTCCCATTGATGATGTCACACAACTTCCCGGGGGAGTACATGAATAGGGATGACTCACTCACATAATATTTATCACTCTTGCACTCAAAGTATTTATCAAGTTTCTATCATCAAATTAACAGTAAACACTTTGAAGTTTCTCATCAAAGAAGTAACTACATGGAAATGCTGATCAAGAGTAGAACCTCTGTTGAAACAAATACATTTTTCTTGTCCACTTTCTTGTTCACTTTGTTTTTCTTTTTTTTTTTCAATATTATTTCAGAAATGTAAAATAGTGAATCTCCCTCTGCTTTTAAATTTACTTGTCAGTTGCAATTCCATTATAATGTACTGTAAAAGTCTTGAAGTTATATCTTATTATTATAGAAGCCTTCATTCTCATAATTAGCTTTCTCATCATGCTGGCCTGATCCTACTATTGACAAAATGTGTTGAATGTGATTACTCTTACTCTTTCCACCAAAGAATTAATCTTTTAATATTCCTATGTAAAGTCAAGATTGGATTTTGAAGTGATTTTTTTCTCTTGTGCATCACAAATGGTGATTAAGTAACTGATAACAACTGTTATGTATGGAATGGACATGGACATCTGGTAGTTGCCAAGAGAACAGCAGTATAACCAGAGTGTGGTTGACTGTGTTAGAACAATGATTAGAACAATTATTCCCTATCCATTTAATATTTAAAAAGTAGAAATAGAAGGTGTCATTGTCCTTCTCCAAGAGAAAGAAGGATTACTTCAATGTCTTTTAATTCAATTAACCAGCAGGCAGAAACTCTTAAAAGTTGGACCCTCTCAAAGGA